GGTATCGTCGATAGTAAATTTTATTATATATATATATATATATATATATATATTATACATTCTTTTAAAGCAGTGTTCCTCTTTCTCTAGTCAAGTTGGCAAAAAGGGTTTAGATTTTCGAAAAAAAAAAAAAATTATAAACCTATGCATTCTTCTTTTTTTGGAAAAGTTTAAAATTTTCAGTATTGGAAAAGGACGCAAAGGACTCGAGCAGGCGAAGAGTTTATTGTTGTAAATGATAATATACTTATTTTCTTCGTGAAAATCGTCGATGAAAAGTTGATGTAATTTAATTTTAAAAGATTTTCGAAAAATTTATATATATATATATATTTTTCTTTAGAGCGATGTTCTAAAATTTGGAAAAGGGTGTCACGATTCATAAATCTTATTCCTCAAATATATATTTTAGATTTTGGAAAAAAAAAATTTAGGATTTCACGAAGAGATCGGTGAATTTATTCGTTATTCAAACCTATATATATTCTTCGAAAAGTTTAAAATTTGAACATTTGGAAAAGAGAAATCATTGTTATAAATAACATCTTATTACTCGCGAAGTATTTTAGATTCTCACGAAACACATGATTTCATACAAGATTTTTTATTAGAAAATTTCGAGAATCGAAACTCGAACGTGATATTTCATTTCGCGTAAGATGTTTTAAATTTTCAAAGGGAAGTTTATAAAGGATGTTTGAAGGATAATTTCAACCAGTTTCGAATTGCCAGTCCATCTTCGAAGATGACGTTCTTAAGACGATTTATATGAACGTGCACGGTTGTTTCAGACAGTTTCAGACGCATTCTGCTGACGGCGGCCATTCATTACGAAGTTTGTACAATTTGTGTGTTCTCGCTTCGATCGAAATTTCAGATGATCGTAATCGGATAAAAGGACACAAATTATTTCTCGTTTAAATTTTACAAAATGATTTCACAATTTTCAGAAAATTACGATTCAAAGCGAAAAAACTGACCAATTCGAGCGAAGAGAGAAAAGGAAAAAGAGCGTTGATCGAATAAAAAGCTGATCAACACGCGCCTCGTTATATCCAATTAAACTCTTCGAGGCGTAATGAACCATTCAATTATACAAACTCGACAAATTGGAAGTTAAAAATCGTTTTTTAAATTGCCCAAACAAACGTGTATTCATCATCGAGTTCGAGAGAAGAGCACAACGCAAGAGTTCGCGTCTAACCAATTCGCGATTAACCACGATCAAAGGTAGCAGCGATTTACTCGAGCGAACGAAAAAAAGGGCCGTTCGAGGGAAGAAGAACCGTTCCTCGAAATTCCATTCGAGCGCGACCTTCGAGGACGTGTCAAGGAACCCGGAACCCCTCTCTCTTTCCCTCCAATACACGGAAGATGCCCACTCGGTGAATCCACCGAATCCGCCATTGTTTTCCTCTCCCTCCCATCCCGGAGGATCGAGAGAGAGATTGGCCGAATCGTCGAACGTCCTCGAGAAACTGGAACTCGAGTTCGCCACGTGGAAGATATAAGAGGAGGAGGAGAGAGTTTCCGAGATGTCCAATTGCTGCAGCTGCATCCGTGATTGCACCGCGGACACTTATCAACCGCTGAGCTCGCAGAGATTCGGGTGCAGCCGCGCCAAGGTGCAGAGGGATGGGAGAGAGGGCATCAGGAGCCCGAGGAACCAGCGTAGAAAGCTTAGCGTGCGATACGACGCGGTTAGGCCGGCCCGAGCTGCAAGGTTAGATAATGTTCGGTTAACGATCGCTCCGGGGATTCGTACGATTGCGAATCTCCCGGCTGGGATCGGGCGGGTTTTCTAGAAAATTGACTTGGAATATATTTCTTTTTATTCATTTTTAATTCCTTTCGTATCGTCGAATATCGCGTGCTTTATTTGGAGGAAAAGATTTTGATCCGTGTTTCTAATTCTGTAAAAAACGATATTTAGTATGTATTTTATTGATGAAATCTTATTTTTGTTCTTTTTTTATACTAAAGTATCGAACGATGTTTTCTGTTGCAGGTGAGTGATCGATAAACCGAGGTAAGATTCATAAAAACAATTCCGTAAATAATGGGAGAAGAGTAGAACGTAAAAGTCCGCGGTTTTCGACGACCAATTTTCAGCCAGCTCGAAGGATTAACGGCGTGGCGGTTGCACGCAGAATGTTGTATGCCAGAATTGGATGTTAATCCGTTGAAAAAGTAACCAGTTAAAAATATATCGAATAAAAAGTTACTTTAATAAGTGATTGCTTGTTAAAATGCTCGAATAACATTTGTTCGTAACTATTACGTAGTAGTTGATCGGTTACAATTATTATTATTATTACATCGAAGTAAGTTTATTCGTAAGTTTAAACTATTAAATTTTGCCCATCGCTGGTTGCGAGCACAGCTATATAACTGCCACGCTGCTCGGTGTCAGGATGCGCGAAGGGTTGAGGTCACGTGAGCGCCTGTCCAGGGAGAGGGGGTAGTCCCATGATTTTTCCACGATCGTGCGGAAGTGGCTGTCAGTTCCGCAGGAACTCTCGCGCGGTTCAGACGTTCGCGATATGTTCCTTGCTCTCTTTCTTCCTTTCTATCTATCTCTTTCTCTTTATGTCTATCGTTTCTTCTCTATCTTGCTTCGACGTTTCCGCTGTGCGTGATCTCGTATCGTTTCGCATTGTACGTTTCTGGTGCATTTATTTATTTCATCGTTTGTAATATAATTTCTTTTATCGTTCTACTATTCTCTTTATTATTAATCCTTTTTTAGAATCCTTTTTTAGAAGATATTATTCGTCTCGTTTTGTCAAACCTTTCTTTTTCCAGTTATTGGTTATTCTTCCTCTTTTCTTATTTTGTATACAATTATAATTGAAACCATATATGACTGAATATTACAAGTAGTGATTGTGCGCATTATATATATATATTGATACGTCTTTCTTCGAGTCTAGTGTTTGTAATGGTTTATCGAGGCGCAGAGGAGTCGAGCAGTGTGAGAATTGTGTTCGGTTTGAAATGAGCTCGAGTGATTCTGTTCTCTGCGAGAAATTGATTTGTCGATCCATCCGTTTATTTAGCTTTGGAAAAGCGAATTGATAAAAAAATATATGCAATTCGATTATTCAATCGTGAAAAATTCTGACGAAGAAAATGGTTTTGCAGATAATTTTCCTGCGCCTTTTATTAATTATATATACAAATACGTATCGACTTATACTCGTCGTTCGTATATATTTATGAATATTAAAAATCATTATTGAATTTAACATCGATGAGCAATCTTATCCAACTTACAAAATTCACAATTTTTACAAATCTGAAGTAATTTCAACATCGATTCAATCCTTAAAAAGTTATCATTCAGAAGGAAGTGAAGATAGCATTTGTAATAATTTCACTCTTATATCCTTCCACTTAACCACTTCAAACTCGATACCTTTTTACACGTTCCATTATTTGTAGACATTGACGACTCCATCTCTCTTTCTCCTGCGTGTCTCCTCAAGAGCGACCATCGTCTTTCGTAAATGACACCAGGGCAGCCACTAGGGGCGAAATAAATGAAATTGCTGTCGCGTATAGCCTCGGCAACTGGGCCGAAAGTACTCTGATTAATGCCCTCGGCATTGTGCAACTATCTCTGACCCCCGGTGGAAGCGACAAAGCGATTTTCATTGTACTGCAGATTATCTCGCGACAAAAGGGTTTCACCCCCCTCCCCCCCTTCCCCCCTGTAATTTGCCTCGACTCGATGAAAACTTCCTGTCTTTCGAAATTATGAGAAAAATCTCTTCTTTTTTTTTTTTTTTCTCGCCTCAACAACTTCCCTCGTGTAACGAGGTTGTTACCTTTGCCGCGTTAGTTAGAAATTTTAGACGCTTCCTAACGATAAATATTTCAGAGAATGATATATATTCGTCCGAGGAGAAACAGGTTAATATGAAAAGATATTATAGAATTACTACTCGAAGATAAATTGTTGTGCAAGGTATTAAATTGATCCTTCGAATGTAATATTGTTAGCAAAGTACGTTTAAAAAAATAAAGAAAGAAAGAATCGTTTATTTGTATAAAATGAATGGCGCAATTTTAAAAAGACGACGACGAAAGAGATAAAAAGGTGTAGGTTGAAATATTAAGCATTATTGATCCACACCAGAAGATATTCAAACATTTGTCTTTCCACGGTATGCATAACGAACGCTTGGAAACATTCAGGGTTCATCGAGGAGGAATTCATCGAGGAACGAATCGACGTTTCGTGGAAGCTTGTTCTGGTTAAACGTGTGTGCGTGGATAAAAAGTCGTCGGGTAGAATGCAGCGCTTGTTTGAGACGCGCCTCTTGGCATTTACATTGCGTTCAACGTGGCATGTACTGTTACTTCCATGGGCCTCCATGGTGATATCATCACGATTCTGGAAACATTTCCTCGTTCCATCATTCAGATACGTATCGTAACGCAACTCGAAGTTATCGAAATACTTCGAGTTCCATAATCGAAATTTAATTTCGTCATCTTATCGAGTTGAAGGCTCGCTCGATTAACTCGAGATTTTTTTTTCCGAAAAATTGCTTTTTTTTTTGAAATTTTAGGAAGGAAACATTGGAAAATGTTTGAATTCTCGAAAATTATTTTTTTTTTAGATAATGACGAGTGAAAGTTATTCTCAACAATATTGTCCAACTTGTGAAAAATATTCTTTCGAGAGAGGGAGACTTTTGCTCTCGAATATATTCATTTCAACGTTTCACGGTATTCTCGGTGAACGCTTTTCTTTATCGATGATTCTCCAAATATTTCTCTCTCTCTTCTTTTTTTTTTTTTTTTTTACGAGTTTGTTTCACGAATTTCGTCCGTTCTTAACAAAATTTCTCACGCTGAGACGAAAGGAAGGAAAGGAGAAAAATGCAAATCGAGTGAAAAAAATATACGTATTGCGACCTTCGTGCGATGGAAGAGACGCGCATTCTCGGTGAATAATAAGAGCAAGAAACATCTGGTTCTCGTTCGCAAAGGGCCGAGCTACCTAGCTGTCCAAAATGCTTCTTCAACCAGCCAAGCATTCTTAGTAAGTGGTCTGCTCTCTTTATTTACAGGATATATTTGTATGCGTCTTCTGTCGGTGCGAGCTTCTTCTTCTACGCTTCAGAAAAGTCAATGGACGCCAGTCTGTCGAATTTACCCCTTTTTCTTTCCTATCTCGTAAATACGAGATTGAAGTAAATGTAATAAAGTGTGTACTCTCCTTTCTTTCTCTTATTGTTTTTCTTTTCTTTTTCTAATCATCAACATTCTTCATGAATATTCTTCTTAAAATAAAGAAAAACTAGAGAATAAATTGAAAAACTGTTGCATTGCAATTAATTATTGAACCAATTGAAGTAATTTCCTTGATCACACATTGAAAAATAATAATAAAACAAACTACTTTCTATTACTCGTTTGCTCTAGTGTTACTCGAACCCATCACTACCGAAGGACCACTTTATACCAATATCCATAGAATCAATTATCCAAAAAGTTTCAACAAACATTTCTCAGAGAATTCGCAATACTCTATTCATATACGCCTCGAAAATCATCCTCCCCCCCTCCCCCTCCCCCTCCCCTCAAACGATCGAAATCTCGTTTGTTTGTAGGAAAACGGCGGCGAATCCAATTTATCTCTTATAAATTGAAGTGAATATATACATATATTTTTCCTTCATTCTCTCCTTCATTGCTTTAATCATCAACATTCTTCATAAATGTTTTTGTAAAAATAAAGAAAAACGTGTAAATTGGAGGATAAATGAAAAAACTGTTGTTATTGAACTTTTGAAGATTGGTAAATTAAGTTTACGAAAAGGTAAACCAATTTCTTCGATCATCGAAAAATATTAACTCGTTTGTTCTAGAGTTACTCGAACCCATCGCTACCGAAACATCATACAATATCCATAAAATCAATTATCTAAAAAGTTTCAAAAACATTTCTCAAAAAAATCGCAATACTCTATTCATGTACGCCTCGAGAATCATCCTGCTTCCCCCCCCCCCCCTCAAACGATCGAAATCTCGTTTGTTTGTAGGAAAACGGCGGCGAATTGCAAATCGAGGATCTCGAACGGTCGAGATAATTTCGCGGTGATTGCGCTCGTTCACGTCGTCGTTTCACGCGAGGTGTCCCTATAAATATTCAGCGCCCCTGCGTTTTTCCCTCCTCGCGATTCGAATCCGTTCCCGTTAGGCGGATCGTCGACGAAGGGCGATCGTTAGTTAACGAACGTTTCCACACGTTTCTCCCAGCGCTGCGATTCGCCTTCCACGTACGCACGCCTAGCAGCCACGAGTGAAAGTGAAAAAAGGTGCGTGAGTTTACGCGGTGCAGTTTCGTTCGATCTATCGTTCGCGCATACCGAGGAATCGATCGGCCGATCGATTTCCGTTTTGTACGCTGGATACCACGTTCAGGTGAGTTTTGCTGCGAATTTATTAATTTATCGATGATTCGATTAGTTTTTTTTTTTTAGAAGTATGGTTTAGTTTCTCATTCTTGTTTTTTTTTTTCTTTTTCTTTGTTTTTCTTGTTCTTTTATGAAGATCGAATCGGGAAAATTTGTTGCTAGGTAAGAATTAATTTTTTTGCGAATTAATTGAAAGTGATTGAAAGTACGTTGATTTTTTTTTTTCGATTTGGTTACGATTATTTAATTCTGTTAAGTTTCTTCTTTTTTATCTGTATTCGAGATACAACTT